AGGGACTTGACTCAGGGCTGTTTGGAAGGTGGAGTGATGGGGTTTCCTGAAGGTTAGGTATGAAATGAGAGGAAGTGGGGGTCCAGGACACCCCAAGTTTGGAGTTTCCATCCCTTGAGATGGGGCCTATGAAGGAGCCGTGTGTGGGTCTGAGGTGCACCCAGGGCAGGCAGCAGGTGGCAGGATTAGCAACGGCAGAGGCCTGAGGCAGGCAGGCATGACACGCTTGGATGGTGTGGGGAGGCTGGTGCCCAGCCCTAGTCCTGGCAGCCCTCAGGCTCCTGGTCTGTGAAATGGGCCCACGGACGCTGGGGTGGCTCTTCTCCACGCCGGCAGGCGGCTCCGCGGGGGGGATTGTGAGCCTGTGTTGGGCCGATGGCTGTGCCGTTGCCGGGCGATGAATGCTCCCCCGGCCCTTTAATTACCGAGCGCTAACGAGCCCTGAAATTAAATTAGAGAGGAGCTGGCAGCCGGCATTCCATCCTCTCGGATGCCATCGTCTCTCCCAGCCGAGGAGGACTGACGGGAAGCTTGGGGTGGAAAGGCGTTGGCGGGGTGGCTTGGATCGACCAAGCCTGGGTCCATCGCAGCCACAGGGCCCACTGAGGCAGACGACGGACCTGGGGTAGCCAGGACACTCAGGTGTCAGCTGGGCCTCACGTGGACCCCAGGAGAAACAGCTGGAGGGACTGACCCCAGGATGACAGTGGTGGGAAAAGGTGGGTCTCGTCATTCCCCATTTTCCAGTTGGGGAAACTGAGGCATGCAGGAAGGCGGGGAAGGGAGTGACACAGCCCACAGTAACTCCAATGTCTCTGCTGCAAGTGACTGCCCACTGCTGTGGACAAGCCCCAGACCTCTCTGAGCCTCAGGTGAAATGGGGGTGGGAGGGTGCCTCTGTCAGAACCCCCTGGAGGACCAAACGAGAGGACACGTGTCTGTGCCCAGCCCAGGCTGCAGGACCGAGCCCGCACGCTCCCCGTCGGATGCCCGAGGAGCACTGGGGACCTCTGCTCTCTGACCCCACCGGCCATCAGTCAAGGCCACCCCTCCACCTTGGCCTCGCTGAGTGTTGGCCACTCCCAGGCAGAAACTCCAGGAAAAGTCCCAGCCCCTCCTCTCCCGAGCCCACACATTTGCTCAGAACGCATGAGCGGGGGAGCGCCCACCCTCCGCACAACTTCCTGCACTTCTGCTGCGAGTTTTACATTAATCACGGCTAATTGCTAGCGGGAGTCGTTCATGTCAAGAGCCTTTATTCCTGGGAATAAAGAGAAATAAAAGACGGTTCCGCTCGCTTGAGGAGCCCCGCACCGTGGGGGAGGACTGCGCAGGCCTGGGACGCTGCCCAGTGGGCCCAGGCCGGCCCACTTCCCGGCTCCCAACACTGTGCCGAGCGCAGCCTCAGGGAAAGGAGCCATCCACTCTGTTCACATGCTCTCCGAGGTGTCTGTGACTTTCCTTGAAACCAGGGAGGGCTTTTTCTTTTTCTTTTTTTAGCAACAACAGCTGGGGATAAGTTGACACGTTCTAAAAACTGCCGCTTACTGCTTGGGAGAGGGCAGGGGAAGTGGGCTTCCAAGGCTGCGGAGCCCCAGGCCCAGCACATGGGTGCCACCTGTCCTCAGGGCCCACAGGCAGGGGGGCTGCTGGCCCTAGGTTTCTGGAGTTCATTGGGGGTCAGGTGCTGCTGGATGTTACCCAGGGCTTTTGGGGAGCCGTCTTGCAGGCCCCAGACGACAGGGAGCAGGGGCTTCTGCACACTGTGTTCACAACCTTTCCCTGGTTTCCTTCTGACTCGGTCATTAACCAGAATATCAGTCGTTTTCTTACACAGGTGTGGGGTCAACCAGATGTCTGGTGTCAGTTACTACTGACTGAGGCCCCACAGGCAACATGGGGCTTGAGAACCAAGGATGCACGGAGGTCTGATCCCTCTGTGCACATGTGTGCTCACACATGTATGCATCCTGCTGTCTGAGCACACATACATGTGCACATAACCATGTGTGTGTCTGTGTGCTCATGCATACATGTGCACATCCATGCGCATATGTACAGACACTGTGTGCATGTGTGTACATGTGCCGGTGTAGTGTGCATGTGTGCACATATGTGTGGGACGCAGGTGCGCATGTGGGCATGGATGTGCATGTTAGCTGCATGCACATGTTTGTAAGTGCATGTGCCCATGTGTGCATGTGTACCCTGTGTGTATGTATGCCTGTGAAGGGCGGGTACCTGTGCCCATTATGCTTTTGTGTTCATAGGTGGCATCACTGGGGGGCACTGCATGGGGTGGGGACCCAGGGTCTGCGGCAGTGGCTTGGTGGCAGTGGTGGGGCCAGCACTGTTGGCGGTGATGTGTTAAGAAGGAGCCTGAGGCTCAGGTGGCACACGCCCTTTGGCTGTTGGGTGACGTTTGCCCTGGGTGAGGGGGTGGTGATGGTGTGCATTCCACCGAGGCTCTGAGCCGTCCCTTGGCCCCCAAACAACCCAAGGGAAGAGTTAGGGGCTCGTCTGTCCGTGCCTGGTGCAGGGTCCAGAGCAGCAAGTTTGCCCAGCGACTGAAGGAGCCTGGAGAGGGGGCAGCGGAGGCTGGGGAAGACACACAGAGGAGGGCCCTGGCCCGGGCCTGCTGGGGCTCTGAGCCGTCCCTTGGCCCCCAAACAACCCAAGGGAAGAGTTAGGGGCTCGTCTGTCCGTGCCTGGTGCAGGGTCCAAAGCAGCAAGTTTGCCCAGCGACTGAAGGAGCCTGGAGAGGGGGCAGCGGAGGCTGGGGAAGACACACAGAGGAGGGCCCTGGCCCGGGCCTGCTGGGGCTGTATACCCTGGTTTCCTGCTCCTCTGGAGAGAACAGGTCCTCATCACACTGGCAACAGTGTCCTCCCCAAAAGCTTAGAGCCCGGGCACAGCAGAGACCCAGCAGCACACAACTTCCTCTCCTGACACCCCCACACCCCCCGGGTGGCTCAGGAGGTTAGAGAGTCTGCGTGGCACAATAGCAGTATTCATGATACCATTTGCAGACCCTTCCCTGTGGTGTTCCTTGGCAGGCCTGGGAGTGTCTTAGTTCTCTAGGGCTGCTATCTCAGAAATACCACAGTGGGGGCTTTGATAAACAGAAATGTACTCTCTTGCAGTTTAGGAGGCTGGAAGTCTGGATTCAGGGTGCTGGCTGCAGAGGAAGGCTCTCTCTCTCCATCAGCTCTGGAGGAAGACCCTTGTCTCCTCTGAGCTTCTGCTCCTGAGTGATCTCCATGGGCCTGGCATCTCTGCTCCCCCACTTCTGCTTATCTGGTCTGGCTTTGCCCCAAACCACTCCAGCTTTTCTCCTCTCAACTGCAGCATAACATCTCTTACTTTCTTTTCAGCCATTGCAGATAACAACCACCAGAGTAACCAGCTCAGAATCAAAAGTTTCACTTCCCATGCCTCTTGGTTTTTCCCTTACAAAGCCCAATGCTTCAATGAGTCTGGATCCATTGCGACAAATCCCACTCTTGACACCAACTACAAATGATGTGGAGTCTAAGGTCCTCTGACTTCAGGGGAGAACTAAGATCAGTGTCAACAGCCCAGGGCTGACTCCTATGAGGTGGAGGTCAGACATACATCGCCCTCTCATCTTTGCACCAGTTCTGACACCGGTTGTCCTTCCCACAGCACTCTGTACTTCTCCACTGGGTTCAGTCATTTGTTGCAATGGCCACACAGAACTCACAG